TGCAGGTCAGCAAATGAGGGGGAAGCTCCACCTCAGTTATGGAGGCACCAACCAATAGCCTTGCAGCCTGGATAGACAAAGTAGAAGGAGGAAGTGGGCACACATTTAAAGAGTTTTTTTTTTTTTTTTTTTTTTTTGCGTGATTAGATGTGTCTTTTGCTGCAATCACTGTGGGCATCAGACTCGAGGTTCTCTGGCCTCTCAAGGCCACTTACACTGGTGACTCTCCAGGAAACTTCCAGGCTTTTGGTCTCTGCTGGCGGCTACATTCTGATGATCCCTCTTGCTCGTGGCTTCCAGCTTGTTGTACTGAGAAGCCAGGATCCTCTGTCCCTTAGGACGCAGACGGCCACTGCAGCCTCTCTTGCCTCTGACCCTGTAAGGGCACCTAGTAAATCCCCTTCATAAATTCCTCTTATTTGAGTGAGTGATAATCGTCCCTCTTCCATCCAGATGCACGTTCCCTCACACCTCCTGTTTTGGTGGTACTAGAGGTTGAACCACCGGCCTTCACACAGATCTACATCTCCAGCCCTTTTGTGATTTTTATTTTAAGACAAGGTCTTGCTAGGTTGCTGTCTTGGTTACTCTTCTCTCGTTGCTGGGACAAAATACCTGGTACTCAAAATTAAGGAAGGAAAGGTTTATTTCACCTACAGTCTGTGGAGGTTTCAGTCCGTACTTGGCAGGTTACAAGGCTACAGCTCATGATGGCAGAACACAGCAAAAGCAACAAGCACAAAAGGGAGGAATGGCTGCAAGCAGCCTCTTCCTCTCCCTTACATATGCAAACTATAGGGCAGGTGTAGTTCTTACACCCATAATCAATCAAACTCTAAAAGCCTGCCCCATGACTGCATGAGGCTTTGGGGGGACACACAGACACAAACCATAACAGTTGCTAAGGTGCACTGCTCAGGCTCCAGGAGAAGCTTGTTGTGTTGGCTTTCCTGATGAGAACTCAGCTGTCTTCATCATCAGAGTAGTTTGGGACCTCATTGTTGCTAAGGGTGTCTGTGGTATTTTTGGGGGGAGCTCTGGTTCTTACTTTGAGCATTGCTTCCTAGCTCCAGTGCAAATCCCTTAGTCTGCTAGCACAGATCCTTCATTCTGCTGACTTTCTAGCTTCCACCACTGACCTTTGGGCCTTGCTAGCACAGATCTGTGAAACAGGCCTGTGTGACACATTGTCGTGGGCTCTCGGCCTCCAACCGGACTTGTAGGAGGCATTGTCTTGGGCTCTAAGTCTTCAGCTGGACTCAAGCAGGACATTACTGTGGGATTCAGGCCCTCAATGGATTCTTTGGTCTTTAGTGTGTGGACAGATTTCCTGCACTCTCCTTGTATATTATTTTTTTGGTGACTATTATAAAGTAATCTTATAAAATATGTGTCCTGTATTACATTCTTTTCCCTTGTAAACCCCAAAGTACAACACTGAATTTTCAAAAAGCCATGTAACCATGAAAAGTAACTGCTTATAGGTAGTAGCACACATACTGAGACCAGTGAATTTATGGACATGAACCAATTGCCACAACTCGTAGCTGTCAAATGAGTTCCTTGGCCAGAAGCAGTGCTGTGTGATACACCACAATGATGAATAAGGGATTTCCTAAGTCCACAGAATAGTGATTTTGGGAGCAGTGTGTGGGTGAGAAATCTAAGTGTCTAATTCAGTAAGAGCCAAGCACCTACTGGGTCTTGTCCTATGTAGTTAGCCTGCCCCGGTAGTTGGCTCATCCTCCTGAAGAGTGACACCACACCATGGGCTCACTGCCAATCTCTACTGTTTAGCACATGTCTTGGTTACTTTTCTCTTGTTGCTGAGACAAAATACCCAACGCCCAAAATGAAGGAAGGAAAGGTTTATTTGGCTTACAGTTTGTGGAGGTTTCAGTCCATACTTGGCTGGCTCTGAGGCAGAAGGTAGCAAAGCAACAAGAGCAAAGGGGGGAATGGCAGCCGAACAGCAAAGCAGCCAGAGCAAAAGGGAGGAATCGCGGCAAGCAACCTCTTTCCCTCACTTACACTGTAAACAGGCCACCCCCAGCTAAGCAGCATGTAGCTCTCCCATAATCTCCATGCCCTCCTCTTCCACAGGCTCAGGATGTATACAAAGTAAGCGCCCTGGCTTCCTGCTGAGTCACTTAGCCAAACCTCTAGACTCCCCAAGTTGACACAGTGTATCAACCCTAACAGCACACAACAGTGGCTCCAGCCCAGTTAGCGTGGGTGAGTGAGAGGCATACAACCCTCTGTCCCCGCCATGACTGTGTTGCCTGTGGACATGTTGGCAAGAACAGAAATGGGTGGGGAAAGAAGTTAACATCTGCATCTTGCCAACCTGATTATGAACATCCTCCTCCACAAAGACCATTCCTTAGTGAGCATTCACACATTATCTTCACACCCTGTACCCACACAATGAGTCTGCTCATGTGGCTATCCTTAAGACCTCCTCATCAACTGTCCAAATGCATTCCTTCTAGTTCCCTGACCATCCAGCTGAATGCTTAGCTACTACCCATCAATTATTGTAGACCTTCAACTCTTCACATCACTCCTTGCAAGCAAAATGAACAAGCAGGTTGTTACAGCGTGTGTCTAGATGACCCCCCAAAGCCTCATGCAGTCATGGGGCGGGCTTCTAGAGTTTATGATTGATTCATGGTCCAATGTCAGGATTATGGGTGTGAGTGCTACACCTTCCCTGGGGCAGGTAGTTTGCATACAATGTAAGTGAGGGAAAGAGGCTGCTTGCTGCTTTTCCCCCTTTTGCTCTTGTTGCTTTTGCTGTTTTCCACCACCTTGAACTGTTGGCCTCTGCCATGTGCCACTCTGCCTTGGAGCCAGCCAAGTATGGACTGAAACTTCCACAAACTGTAAGGTAAATAAACCTTTCCTACCTTAATTTTTGGCATCAGATATTTTGTTTCAGCAATGAGAGAAAAGTAACCAAGACACAGGTACCATTCTAAACTTCTGTCTGCTGAGAAGATTTCTCCTCCTAGGCTCACCTATTTCTCCCCCAAAGTGAGGCTGTAGTGCAATGCCATCTTCTTTTAGGTAGGACAAGCATACTGGAAGATCCCTGCCTTTTTCTTCTATAGTCAACTAGTCTTAGGTCCCTGTCCATGATATATATAGGCTGGAAAAGCAGAGGCAATGTGTCAGAAATGTAGGCCATGTCCACCTGAACTACTTCTCATACAGCATATGTATACTTTAAAGCCCTACTTGGTCTTGTGCATAACACTCATTTGATGATGGACTACTGCTGTGGATACCAACATTTATTATGAGTTGACAGGTTATTATGAGTTGATTGATAGGTTACTATGAGTTGATAGGTTTTAACCACAATGCCAAATAGGATGGATAGTTCAGATTTTATGGAAACTCATTGGGCATGGTCCACAGTCTCCATTAAGGCTCAGCAGCAAGTCAGAAACTACAGGATGGCATAGGTTTGCTCCAAAAGCCTAGAGTTTTGTGCTGTGGTTCATCTACTGGTGCTGTCATAAGCTCTACAGACATCCTTGTCTGTATGGGACCTGGTAAATCAAATGGCCCAAGTGCCAAGAGCCATTGCTTGTTGCAGTTGCCACTCAAAACTAGCAGTTTATTGGATCACTTGTTAAACAGGTCAAAATAGTATCACCAAATGCCGTATATGTTGCCTCCAAAATCCCAAATGGTTCTCTAAGCACTATTTGTCTTTTTTTTTTGTTGAAAAACCAGTCAGATGAAGCAACTACCCTTTACCCTAGAGGGAATATCTCACATGTTACAGAGAATGCACCTGTTACAAATTGGCGGTCCCATTTGTCAACTTTTTTGTTGCCTGTGATTTCTGTTATCATAGTCTTCAAATCACTTCTCAATAATTGAGTTATGAACTGATTAAAAGTGCAGAACCTACCCATGGCATCCTGTAAAAATCTATGGCTCACTGCTCATTAACAAGAAAACCAACAAAAAATATAGATCAGTTCAAGGTGTCTGTCTCAAGTCAGAAAAAAAAAAGTCTGTCTGGCCTGGATTTATCTAATAAGTCACTTTAAACTCCTACTCCAAAAGTGACATTTGTAGAACCCTCATGGATTACATAAAAAACAAAACAGAAAACAGACCTTTAGGCTCTTTGGCTATCCCCAAAGACTAATTGTTCTGCATTTTGTCCATTTGGACGGTAAATGTAACCCGGATAAGAACTGATGGCTCACCCTAGAGTGACAGAAGAAAAATTAAAAGATGTTTTAGCAGTACGGCTAAAAAGACCTACTGATGTTTTGGATGCTGAGGGTAGTTAAACAGAGAAATGAGGATAGTTTAAAAGATTTTGAGTCTGAATGATTTTACCATTTGCTAACCGAAGAGGAAAGTTGGAAGGAGAACAAGTTACAATACTGAGTATAGTATTTTGGTCATGCCAGGTATCAGCTTCAAGATATCTCTGAGGAGAGGTCGCGTTGATACATGCGATAGATCTGGGCTGGATTTAAAAAAAAATATTGATAACATATTATCTTAGTAATTTTTAACAACCGTTATTATTGTCATCATCCTTAAAGAAGGGAGTTAAAAACTCAGTGATTTAGGGTTTTCTTCTTCCTTAGAAGAACCGCCAATACCTAGAAACGAACTTTTTGCAAAGGTTCCCATTCATCTGCCTGCTCCGTTAACCTGGAGAACCCGGTGTCCAATCAACGTCCACGTCTTGCGTCAGCAAATGGGGCGGGGCTCAGTTAGATCCGGTTCCCTGCGCTTGTCTGGCTTGGCCACGTCGGAGACCTCACAGGTCCCTGAAGGTATATAATAGCCAGCCTAGCCATTGTCAACAAACCCATATCTTTCCTCAAATTTAAGACTGAAAATATTAAGTAATACATAGATTTCATTATATCATTTAGCTGTTCTACGTTGTTCCTCCGTTTCTTCTGTGAGCAGAAAAAATCTATTCCTGAGCTTTCTGGACCTGCCTGTCGCCTGCTGGCGCATGCGCGGGCCGTGCAGAGGGCGGGCCGGTTTCCGGCTGCGCTTGGGGCTGCAGGCCCCGGCAGGCGCTGCGGCCGCCGAAATGGAGACTTTGTACCGCGTCCCGTTCCTAGTTCTCGAATGTCCCAACCTGAAGCTGAAGAAGCCTCCGTGGGTGCACATGCCGTCCGCCATGACGGTGTACGCCCTGGTGGTGGTGTCCTACTTCCTCATCACCGGAGGTAACGGGAGGCCGGCCGGGCCGGGCTGGGCTGGGCTGGGCTGGGCTGGGCTGGGCTGGGCTGGGGCTCGTCCCTTCCCGGCCGCGGGTCCGGGGTCCCGGGTGTTCGCGCCCGGGTTCGCGTGCCCTGGAGAGCGCTCGCGTGCTCGCTTCTCTGCCTTTCCTGCTCTCGTGGCCTCGCGTCGCAGAGTTGCGGCAGTCTCCCGAGCCTCAGTCGTTGCTTTTCACGTCCCATTCATCGTCTGCGGAGGTCTCGGGAAAGTCAGGTCTGGGCTCGGGCTGCTGGCGCCGCTGCCCAGGAGCGTGCGGGACTTTCCGACTTCTGCTTACCCGCCGGCTGTGCAGCCGCGGGAGGGATCTGACAACCCCGAGGTGGCTGTGAGCTCACATCTGAGGGTCTCGCGGCTTTTGGTTTGAACTGCAGTAAATCGGAATAGAATTTTCCGAAATCACGGTTTAATTATTACGTATTTGAAGCTGGAGATGAGGTTTGCAGAAGGTATTGTTTTTTAGAGGGCAGAAGTCGAGAATTTTTAAAAAGTCCGAAACCAGTCTTACTATTACATGTCTTAAATATCGTATCCTGACCTTTTCAAGTAGAAATTTGCAAAGGAGCGTCGCTTGACCGCTGCTGAGTTGGCAGTCAGATGCAGACTTTCCGAGCCGCCACCCATTGAAGCCTAATTCCAAGATTTGCTCAGGACTGCACTCCTGTACTTTTACGTTTTGCAAAGTGTTGGACTTAGTTCAGAGATGATAAAGTTTTACAGATTAGCAGAAGTGGTTCCACTTTTTTTAACACCCCCCCCCATAGTGATAACTTACGTTCTTTTAAGTAGATTGCATTTTAAATGTCTTTCATGTTGGGAAGGTAATAGCGTTGCATTAGCGTTAATATTTGCTCAGGACATTAAGAGCTACTGCTGAATAAATGAAATCTGAAATGCACGTGGCTTTGCTTTGAATGAATAGGAGAGTCATCTGCAAATGCCTTTCCTGCTTGAAGCCTAAATTTCCCTCCTAACCAGTTTTGCTCTGTTGGTGATTGTAATGGGGGATTCTCAGCCCTAGCAATAGGGGAAAGGTAGAAAGGACACCCTTTAGTAGTGGTCAAGACCATGAGGTGTGTCTTGTACAAGTAATCAGTTTGGCTGCTGGAAAGGAGTCTCTTGTAAAAACTGAGTGAAGCCTGGCATGGAGGTGCATGCCTGTAATCCCAGCACTCGGGAAGCTGAGGCAGGAGGATTGCTGTGAGTTCAAGGCTTGCCTGGGCTACATAGCAAGTTGAAGGCCAGGCTATACTATATAGTGAGACGCTGTCTCAAAAACAAACAAACACAGAACTGTGAGTGTGCTTTCATAAATAAGCAATGTGTAGTTAGGGAGCAAATGTGGAGAATGGCACGGACCGTGGAGAATGGCACACATCAAGCCTGGAGGAACTCTAGCTTAATGATTTTGTAGAACTGATGGTTTTAGAGAAAGAGGCTTAGCTAGAAAGGTAGCTCAAAAACACGAGAGAGGGGTGTCATAAAAGCCTTAAGAGGAGCGTATTTTTCAAGCAAATTGGGTAAGTAAACTGTCTTGAGACTGTTGGGAAGCCGCCTCAGGTGAGATCTGAAAAATATCCATGAACTTGGCAATCCGAGGTGATTGGTGAGTGAGCAGGAGAGCAAGCAGGAGCGCTGTCTGGTGGAGAACCTGTGCTGGAGTGAGGTGATGAAGGAAGGGAAAGCCTGCTTCATTTTTTTCCAGAAGGAAGTCTGGGTGCCTTTAGAAAGGAGGTGTAGAAACCAGAGGTTTTGTTTTTTTTTGAGACAGGGTCTTGCTGTTGTGGTTCAGGCTGGCCTTGGACTCACTATGTAGCCAGGCTGGCCTTGGACTCTGGTGATCCTCCTGCCTCGGCCTCCCAGACTGCTGGGTTTGCTGGGGTTACAGGTATGCACCACCACACCTAGTTTCTTATGCTTTTCTTAAGCATAGCAGGACTGTGTCTCCCTCACTCCAGCCTGGCGAATAGACAAAACAGGAACTCCCCTATCTCCTTCCCAGCTAATGTTTTATGAAGATTGTGAAGTCACTGGGATTGCTGTAGGGAAGAAGGACCTGAAAACAGGAGAGAGAATCGGTATCGAGAAGGATAAAGCCTCTGAGAGAGCAGGAGGGAGTGGAGTTTTCATCACTGCAGAAGGGACCCCACAGTGACAGGAGAGTTCTTGTTCTGCGTTTTCTTTTTTTTGGCAGGGGAAGTGCTGGGGGTTGAACCTAGGGCCTTTGCACTGAGCTGCCTCCCTAGCCCTTTTTAAAGTATTTTGAGACATAGTCTGCCTTGCTTGTTCAGCCTAGGCCTCCAACCTGCAACCCTCCTGCCTTAGCTTGCCAGATGCTGGGATTACAGGTGTGCACCATCATCCCCACTGTCTCTGAGTGGAGGGCAGGCGCTTGGGATTTGTACGTTAGCTGGGAAGGAGATAAGGGAGTTCCTGTGTGTCTGTTCCCCAGGCTGGAGTGAGGGAGGCACAGTCCTGCTATGCTTAAGAAAAGCTGGAAGAAACTGGGTGTGGTGTTGTGCACCTGTAACCCCAGCAAACCCAGCACTGGGGGAGGCTGTCAGGAGGAGCACCAGAGAGCCCAAGGCCAGCCTGGGCTACATAGTGAGTCCAAGGCTTAGCCTGAACTACAACAGCAAGACCCTGTCTCAAATAAAAAACAAAAACAAAAGGAAAAGCTGGAAGGGTGTTGGAGACCAGGGGGGATGTCAGTGGATATTAATGTTAATGACACATGGTGCAGTGTTGGGCCTTAACATTAGTGATTGTGAGTTGCTAGATTGCCAGACTGCCAGATGCTATGTTTTTAAAATGTCTCCTTGCTTTTATGTTTGAACAAGAAAGTTTCTCTACATTGTAGTTGTCTATCAGGTTATAGAAGGATGTGGAGAATGTTTTTGAATGGAGGTAGACCCTTCAGTGTTAAATCTCCCTTATTGCGGAGTCATTTTTGAGTATTAGTGATGTCACCGAGTATATTTCCTTTGTGAAACTGGTATCTCTTTCAGAGGTGGTATTGTTTTGAAAGTCATTCTAAAACATCAAGTTGCCTGCCTGAATGGCTCATCCAAGCTTAGGTTAGTCGGACCACATTTGACTGTGGAATACAATAAAAGTAGCCCTGTTTAAGTGTAAGTGACCCTTTAGAGACAATGAAAACTATAATTCCACTTTTAAAAATTGGGAAACCAGACTGATCAGTCCTCTGTTCTTCCTTGCAGGAATCATTTATGATGTTATCGTGGAGCCGCCGAGCGTTGGCTCCATGACCGACGAGCACGGGCATCAGAGGCCGGTAGCTTTCTTGGCCTACAGGTGAAAGACAGCTTTTTAATGGTTGGTGGCGGGAAGGAAGGTTGTTGGGGTGGGCCTCCTTATAAAAATACGGTAAAACCCACAGGCTCCATCTACATTTAGAAAACAGTTGTTTTAAAGTGTGGACTTCTACAGCGGCACAAGTGGAAGCCAAGTGCTGTATTCCTTTACTAGAAAGTTGGTTTTTCCCAGTGATCATCACGCCAGCAGTTTAAAGGGAAGGTGTCAGTTTAAAGTACATGTATAGGCTCTGCTGGGGCGCAGCAAACTAGGCTTTTTATTTATTTATTTGTTCTTATAAATAAATTTTGCTGGAATTAGGCATGTTCATTATATAGTATATGGCTGTTTTCAAGCCTTAGTAGCTGAGTTGAGCAAGTGACACAGACCAGTGACCAAAGTATTTATTTAGGTGCTGGGGACAGAGCCTGGGGCCTTGGGCATTCTAGCCAGGCCTCTACCACTGCGTGTGTCCCCAGCCCTTATGACATTTATTCTGTGGGCATTTAAGAAAACAAGACAGTGGAGCCCTGTGCTACACATTACGTGGGAAAATAATTTTTGAGGCTTAAAAGTTCTGTTTCAACAACGAAACACTATTCCAGGGTGGTGTGGTTCCCTGTTGCTTTCCAGAGCCCATTGGAAGCCTGGGCCAGCCTGGAACTCGCAACATCCCCGTCTCAGCCTCCACCGTGTCCAGCCTGACAGGAGCCCTTTCTTACTGTCCCCTTTTAGGGTGCATATATTGGGTTTTGAATGAAAACACTTAGTTAATGTAGACTACATCTTATACCTTGTTTATAATACCTATAGCTATCTCTTTAGTGGAGAAGTTATTTTTTGAGGTCCCTAAGCTCTGAAAACTTGACAGAAGCTTTGTATTTTTGGAAAAATGATATATATAGATATGTATAAAACCACAATTTGCATATGATTATATGAGTTTATAGGTTCCTGAACTTCTTGCAGAGATCAGGGGGCCTTAGTAAAGAGCGCTTGTTTTTAAAATATTTTCTGTGGAAACAGGAAGTTTATTATGACGAAATTTAAGAAACATTTCCAGTCAATTCAAAATTAATTTAAAATTTATAATAGACATTCAGATTTATAACTTTTAAAAGGTAAAGTTTTTGGTAAAGAGTTCATACACATAAAATAATTGACTTGTAAGTTAATTAAAACGCACATACTGATTTTATGTAGACAGTTGTGTTGATCTTTTAAACCTTTTTATTTTTACACATAGCTACATGAAAACTTCTGTCTTTGTTCATTGTTGTATTCCAGAACTTGGAGCTGTGTTTGATATTGATACCCGATTTCTCAGTAACTGTTTGTTGAAATGAGCAGATGGTTATCCAGAGAACTTATTATAAATAGTCTTAAGGATAAGAATAGAAAGTTAGCGTAAGATACTTAAGCTTAAAGAGAACTAAAAGCTCCAGTTGAAGGGAGGTGTGCATTTTTCTGGAAGCGCTCACTTGTCTTGCTGTGGTCCTTCTGTTGCAGGGTGAATGGACAGTACATCATGGAAGGCCTGGCCTCCAGCTTCCTGTTCACCATGGGGGGGCTGGGTTTCATCATCTTGGACCGATCCAACGCACCAAATATTCCGAAGCTCAACAGATTTCTTCTTCTGTTCATTGGATTTGTCTGTGTCCTGTTGAGCTTTTTCATGGCCAGAGTATTCATGAGAATGAAACTGCCGTAAGTCCTGCAATGCTTTGTATAATTCACAGTTTAACTTTTGTTAGAAATTGGTAAGATGGTTACTTGGAGAATGAAATCATAGATTTACTTTACCGCTCACTTGAAAAAAGGGAAATGAAGAGCTAGAGACTTGCTCATTGAGCAACATTGAGATCAGTAGGTCTCCCCGGTGCCATCCCTGCATGAGAGCAGAAGGAAATGCAATCATTGCTGCTGGGGTAGTTTAAAAGATTTTTTTTTTTTTTTTTTTTTTGTCTTTGAAGTATCTTTTGGTGAACTCCAGTCATGGTAGGAGAGATTTTTAATCCATTTACTGCTGCCGCTCTTTGAATGTTGTGTAGGTTGAGTTCCTCGTCTGAAATCCAGAATTGGAAAGTTTGAGCAGTGCTTTGGAGCCACAAATGGGAAATTCCACACCATGAAATTATGTTTCCTGCGCAAAATTATCAAAAATACTGTATAAATTACCTTCAGGCTGTGCATGTGACATCTTGAGCAGACAAGGGAGTTTGTGTTTAACCTTCATACCTCCCTCTGTGCAAATAGGACAGAGCTGATACCCAGGGTGCTCCTCCCTCCTCCACCCTCTGTGTTGCCTTTCAGGTCAGTCCCAGCCCCAGGAGAGCTCAGCTGCCTGCCTGGTCACCACCCTGCCAGGCGGGTGGGAGGCTTCTAGATTTGGAGCGGTAGTCCCAAAGGTTAAAGCTTTAGAGCCTGGCAGTTGGGTTTTTTTTTCCCCAGCGAGTAAAATCTTGAATCAGAGCTTCGTTTCCTAGCAAATGAGAGAGATGCTCATGAAACAGTGCACAGCTGCTGCAACCGCGAGTGGTGGAGGAAGGGAGGGATCCAGCAGGCTGTGCGCTGGCCATGTCGCAGTACTCGAGGCCTCAGATTCCAGAGCTGTTGGCTGAGGTTAATAATGTCGAGAGTAAATGGGGAGGTGTTACGTGCCATCACATTTAATGTTAATGCATTTTTATTTCAAAGACAAACAGGATCCTCAAAGTTCTGTTTTTCAGGCTGGATTTGGGCCACAGGTTTGAAAATAAATGAGTCAGCTATTCCTGTTTGTAAAAGAAGAAAGTGAGGTTTCTGTGTTTGGACCCATCGGAGAAGGTGGTTGGGCAGGGTGAGGAGACCTGTGTTTCAGTGCTGACCTCGAGGTTCTGAGCAGACCACTTCCTGGCTCCTACAGTCCTGCAGTCTCCCTCCTCAGCTGCGCATGAGAATAACATTTGTTTTGCACAGTGTATTGGTGGGGATTGAACCCAGGTCTCGCACATGCTCGGGAATACTCTGCCACTGAGCTACACCTCTAGCGCTCACACACCTCTACAAGGATGAGACATAGTGCATGCCGCACTATTTTGGGAAATTTTTGTGTTATGCTGACCTAGCATGATGCCTGTCTTAATACAAAAAGGCACTCAGTGAGTATTCAACACAGATTAAGTAGAAAATCTTCATGGTGCTTCTCCTGGCTCTAGCTTTTTGAGTTCTTGGTATGTTTATTTTATGATTTTGTTTTGTTTTGTTTTGTTTTTTTGAGACAGAGTCTTGCTATGTAGTTCAGGCTGTCCTTGAACACACTATGTAGCCCAGGCTGGCCTTGTACTTGCCGTGATCCTCCTGCCTCAGCCTCCTCAGTACTGGGATCACAGGTGTGTGCCATCATGCCCTGGCTTTATGATTGTATTTATCCATAATACTTGCTTGGAATTTCTCACAGGCCTGAATATGATAATTAGAGATTATGAAATTTCCTGGGCTGTATGAGAAGGATCTAAGTGATGCCAGAAGAAACCACAGTAAATGTGTTTTGACACGTTTGTTTGTGTTTAGTTTTTTGAAACAGGGTCTTACTATGTATGTAGCCCAGGCTGGCCTTGAATTCATGGAAAACGTTCTTCCTCAGTCTCCCAAGTGCTGGGATTATAGGCATGAGTCACCGTACATGGCTTGAACGCATTTGTTTCCTACCAGGAAACACTAGATGGTATTCATTTATTTGCTCTTTTCTCTAACATGGAGTCTTTTAGGTGTAAGAGTGCTTCTTAGCCTCCCCTCAGTTTTTCTGAAGGTAGGACTGGATGTGAGTTTAGCGGCTTGGAATAGGGAGTGTCAGCCCAACTATTCTTTTCCATCTTGGTGTAGTTACCAGGGGTCTGCGGGCTTCAGTAACTAAGCAGTCACACAGTGGTTCTGGGCAAGAACCCCAGGGGTGACTGGGGCAGGATAGAGGTCCAGAGCCCTCACTCATGGGCTGCAGAGTCCTCCGCCAGCTCCAGCTGTCTGCAGAGTGCCTTCCTGTGCCTGGTGTGGATGTGAGGGATGCTTGCTGGAGACCTTCTGGAGCTTTCTTTAGGTTGTGAAGCTCAGCTGTGAAAGTCTCCTGTGGACAGTGGGAGTACACACGGGGCGTCAGGTCGGTGCATGCATCCAGGTAGCGGGAGGCGAGGTTGCAGTGAGTGGGTCACTGAGGTTGCAGTGAAGGTCCTGGGAGAGGCGGCGGGTTGGGCTGACCGACCTGCAGCAGACGATGTGTGCTTGGTGGTGCATCGGCTGCCCGGTCTGCGTCCAGGGCGCCAGTGAGTCTGGGAGCTGGAGAGAGGAAGAGCAGACTGCGAGTTTGCTCTGTGCCGGGCACCGAGGGAGGCTTGGTGATAGAAGGTGGTTCTCAGTCTCCGTCCTACAGATGGAGAGTGGCGGCTGATGCTGGTGCAGACGTTGGCCAAGCACTGATGGGCCACAGTAGCGGCCCGCGCAGCTGTTTCAGTGCCGCACAGGACTCTGTCACTCAGGGTGGAGGGGTCCCTAGGCCGGGCACACCCAAGGCCTCTGGCCCAGGAAGCACCATGTGAAATCTCTCCATGCCGATATCACAGTTCTGTGCACTTCTGCTTTTTCTCTGGTTCTGCAGATTCTTGGTAGATAGCAAGGATTTTTTTTGAAGGAAAGGCTGGGACCTTTGTAACACCACGTTTGCTGCTTTTGTTTAAAAAAGATGTTAGCGCTGGCGCTTGCATGTAACAAAAGGAGCTCTTAGGTGCTCCACAGAAGGCCCTGGCCACTGTCACTTTTCCTGAGAGAATGGAGATGTGGCCAGCCCTGCTGCTGTCTTGGGGACCCAAAGGCTCCCAGGCAGGAGCTACTCATCCTCTGCTTCCTCTGGTGATTAGGGCTTTTGGCCACCCAGAGCAGTTTGTTTCCATACAGAGGTTTGGTGGTTGTAATTTTGAGAATCTAAAGGGGACTGTTTTTTTTTTTTTTTTTCTTTGTGGTTTTTTGAGACATGGTCTTGCTATGCAGTTCAGGCTGTCCTTGAGCTCGCTATGTAGTCTAGGCTGGTCTCAAATTCATAGCAGTCCTCCTGCCTCAGCCTTCCTAGTGCTGGAATTACAGGCTTGTGCCACCACCCCCGGCCTTAATTAACTTTTTAAAATTCAAATATTCACTGTAAATTCGTTCAGCCCTTGAATTTGCTTTGTAACATTATCTCTTTGAGTGAGAAGAGTGATAGAGCTGAGTCCTAGTACTTTATTTGCTGGAATGAAGAGGGCAAGATAAATATGAACCTTAATAAGGAACACAGTTACATTTTTTGGATTGTTACTTGAATCATCTTAAAATTTGGACATTTTAAAATGTTGCTTCCTTTTCACTTGCTGTGTGTGTAAATGTTTTGGCAGGGGCTACCTGATGGGTTAGCGCCTTTGGAGAAGAAATCAGCGGATTCGCTCCTGTTGAAGCGTCAAAGGCTGTACGAGTCCTCTCCTGTGAAACGTGAGAAGAGATGAAGGGCAGCCATGAGGAAGTACTGGCGAAAACACAGGAGGTGTTTAAAACTCGGACTAGAAGCTTTTGATATCAGAGACAAGTTTATCACAGTATTTTTTTTTCTGCTGACCCATTCTGATGTGATGTCAAGTGGCATTTTCTTCTCAGTCTTTCATTTGTTCAAGAAAACATTCTTAAACTTCTTAAACTGCAATATTGAATAAAGTGGTTATTTTTTACAAGGCCCTCAGCATTTTTGGAGATGCCGTTTCTGATTTCTAGAAATGAATGTAACAGCAGGAAGCAGATTCTGTGGCCGAGAGCTCTGGCCAGCCGATCCCTTCGCCGATGGTGCTCTGCCTGCAGTCGGCGTGCACGGTCATACTGTGTCTCAGACGTGCGTGCAGACTGTTTCCTCCACAGTAAATGGATAAAAGGAGCAGAAATAAATACTTTTTCTACTTAACCCCTTTTGTGTTTTTAACTGATCGCATTAACCTTTGGTCTGGACACCATCCAGCCCCGTCTCGGGACCTGCTGTAGCTGCTTGGGGTGCCCCAGGCCCCACGGTGCCCTTGGCAGGATGCCTTGTAGGTAGCAGCTCTGTTCCCGCAAATACTTGAGGGTCATCGCAGTGTGTCCACGTCACAGCATGTGCCCGTGTCGCAGTGTGTACCCATGTCGCAGCGTGTGCCCGTGTTGCAGCGTGTCTGTGTCGCAGCGTGTGTTCTTGTCACAGCGCGTGTCCTTGTTGCACGTGTCTGTGTCACACCACATGTCCGTGTCGCGCCACGTGTCTGTGTCAGGTGTCCCCAGGAGCCTCGCGCTCACTGGTGGGGCTTTTGGAAGGCCACTGGATGCTGGGGGCCTGTAGCTGGCGAGCTGTTAGCTGGGGTGAAGAGCCTGGCCCCTGTGGCCTGACCTGGAAGTGTTTATCTCCCTCCCCACCCCGGCCTTCCCTGCTTCCTGGCCACACCAGGAGCAGCGCTCCCCCAGCATGCGTGGACTGAAAGTGCTCCCGAGACATGGGCGTGGGGTGTTGGGCCCCAGGGGCAGGCGGGTGACGGGTGCCGCGGCTGGGAAAGGGACTGGACGTTGCAGGCCTCTGGCTCTCATCCTCGGTGCTGCGTGTCCTGAGCACAGCAGAATGTGGTGCCAGCCTCGCCTCGGCCTCTCCGCGCCTTCTGCCCTGGCCTCAGTTCCCTGACGCGCCGAGCCTTTGCCTGTCTAACGGCCGGCTCATTTGTTCTTTCTAAGATCTTAATGCACAGTAAACTCGCAGGTGAGTCTTCCCATGCCTTTTGCAAAGAGGACCTAATTGGAGGAGTTCATTAAGAATCAGTCGCTCATGCAAAGTGTCAGGAACCTCCTCTACTCTCAGCTGCCCTGCAAGTCTGGCCAGTGAGTCAGATGAGTAACATCTCTGCCCTCCCGGGAAAGGTGTGTATAAACTCAGATACTGGTAACTCTAAAAAGAAGTAAGCAAGGTAATAGCAATTGAGGCCGGGATATGGGGAAATGTGTTTGCTGTACTCCGAAACTCCGAGAAAGGGAAACTGGCCTGTATGTACTTACCAACTGAAAATTGTGATTTGGTATTAACTTTGGTCATTTGACCATAGTAAGAAAACCTTACACGAATTAGAAACCAGCACAAAGGCCACCTGACCCCAAAAGCTCTGTCCCTCCTGTGAGTAAGCAGTTCCTGTTAGGTAGCAACAGGTGGCGCTATTGAGGTTTGGGCGATTTCAAAAGTCCTAAGGCCTTTCAATACTGTATATTTACTAAATACAATGAGATATATTGAAAATCCATAATATGTAAATATGCAATTGACAATATAAATATTTAAATCAGTATGTAGAGATGGTGCTGTTAGGAGTGCAGTGTGTGTGAAGAACCAGAATTACTGCACCAGGGGCTGGGGATTTAGCTCAGTGTCACAGCGCCTGCCCGGCGAGAGCAAGGTCCTGAGTTCGATTTCCGGTACCAAAAAAAAAAAAAAAGAATTACTGCACCCGTACCGGGCTTTTAGAGACCCGAAGCCTACGAGTGGGAGGGGCTGCTCCGCGAGACTCACGCGCAGGCTCAGCGGATGAGTGACAGCAGATTTACGAAGTAGGTGGAAACACGCGGCTGTGGTCAAGTCACAGGTGCGGCTCTCGAGTGGATGCGGACTCGCAGGGGACACGCAAAAGGGTGAGTGGAGGTCACCCCAGGGGAGGGAAGGGAGGGAGCTCCCGTCTGCAGCGGCGCTGGGTTGGCTGCGCGGTAGACCTCTGCCCCGCCGCACTATCGGCTCACTGGCCGGGGCCACCTCGGATTTGCATGCTCTTGGCTGGAGGGCTGAGATGAACTCCGAGCCCACCACGGCTTCAGCTGGGGCAGGTCCTCCACGGGACACCCGGACAGCACATTTCCGCGTGCCCCAGGTGTGTGAAGAAAGCGTCTAATTCGTCGAATTAAAGTGAGAAGATCCTATTTACTTTTTTTAGGAAGATGGTGCTATGAGTGTTACTATTTCTTTGAAGTGAAAAGTAAGTAATGGGGACTTGATAAATAGTACATTCCTGAGGGGTGAAGAAAAAAATTATTTTTCCATTTTGCTTGAACTGGAGTCCGGGACTTCTAAATGGCAGAGCAGTTGTTTCCACTATGTGGAACTATGGAGTTTTTAGTGTAGAAGTAAGCCTTTGATTGTAGTGATCAAAGGCTATATTTGTTCATTCAGAGAAGGCACATGTGGGACTCGGTTACGTCAGAGCGAGCAAGGCAAATACAACCCCCTTCCGGTGGAGGAGCTTCCGGCCGCGGGGCGGCAGGGCAGGTTCTGTGCTGGGGGAGCAGCGCCTGACCCAGACTTGGCCTCCGTTGGTCACTAATCCGCTGACCAGTGTCAAGCATGAGTACACTGTCGCTAAAATCTTTTTCTTTCGTTATCTCTCTTTTTTTTCATCAAGACTTAATTGCAAGGCAGGGAAACTCGTTATTTTAAGGAGGAGGATGATATGTTGGGGTTTGGATTATCTCATCATACTAAAGACAGCAGTACTGCTCCCGCACCTTCTGTGTGCCTTCATCTTGCTTTTCTTAGAAGACTGGTCTCTCCTGGTCCACGTGGCAGGAGTCGCTGCCCTCAGCCAGCCTGGATCGTCGCGCTCGACGTCGTGAGCTGCTGCAGGAAGGGGTTTCCGCCCGAGTCCCGCTGCAGAGGAGCCCGGGGGGAGCCTGACCACCCTGGGTGAGGGGTTCGCCTGGGGTGTGCCTTACAAACCACACTTGGAGAAGAGGCTGTGGTTGTGGGCCTGCATTCGAAGGGCTGAGCAGTAGAAGGGCTAACATATACTAAGGGAAGATACCACTGGCTTTGTATCATTTTTTATTTCTTGTGACGTTAAAGTAGTTGAGGTGTTTTCTTAGCTTCTATGCTCTATCTTTAGTTAACTGCAATAGACATTTTCATACCACTGCAATTTTAAATAGTTTGAATTAGAATGATTAAAAAATTCCAATAAATGGAATTACATAAATTTAAGTGTTAACATTTCTTATGATTCCAAAGGGCAAGTATATAATGGAAGTACGCAGTAGCTGTCAGTACCGTAACCACGAGCTATGTGTTGCTGTGTGAATACCTGTGTGCTGTTGTAAAATGTACCTTGGGTTTTAAAGATTTAGTGTCAAAAGTAAAATATCTCAATATTTTTATATCATATATATATATATTTATAGTGCTCAAAACAGCCCCCCCCCCCTTTTTTTTAATCTTTTTGAGACAGGGTTTCACTCTGCAGTTCAGGCTGGCCTAGAACTCACTTTGCAGCCAAGGCTGGCCTTGAACTTGCAGCAATCCTCCTGCCTCAGCCTCCCAAGTGCTGGGATTACAGGCATGCACCACCACATTGGTTTTTATATTTTGAGATGGGATCTCTCTATGTATTTCGGGCTGGCCTTGAACTCACAGCAGTCCTCCTCCTCACCCTCCCCTGTAGAACAATGTTTTGACATATGTGTACATGTGAAATGACTAAAACAAGTGAGTTAACATATACACTGCCTCAAATTTTTATGGTAAGGAAATCTCGACAGTTTTCATTTTTACTAGTACACATTGTGGGGTGCAGTGACTGCATTCACTGTGGGGAGTTGGTGCTTGCACGTAACACGTCTTCATTCTTTTGTCACCCCTACCCTTCCCCTCCCTGGCCCTCCTTCCACCTCTCACTGACAATATTCACCTTCGCAGACAATAGATCTCTATTCTTCCTGTCTAAAACGCGTGTGTTCTTTGCCTGCCATTTCCCCGTCTCCTCCCCAGCCCCTGGTAACCGTGTTTCATGGTTTAGAGTTTCCCTTTTCTGGCTTCCATAACAGATGCTTCTTATCTTGAGATAAGAAGCATTTAAGGTGAATGCTTCCAGGGTTCCGTACTGGTCCACAGTAATCAAGTTATGCATTTTAAATATGTAGCGTTTCAGATGTGATATACCTGTGCCAACTCCTCACAACGACTGTAATCATTGTACTACAAACATGAAGCAATAACAAAATTTAAAAAATAAATACAAATTTTTAAAAAAATGTCAGTTAAATTTCAAGAAAGCCATTTAAAAAGTCAGTTTTCTAAAGGGTACTTGTTTAAATGTAAATTCTTACCTCTTATTGCCCAGCCTGGTGTAACTACCTCTTTACACATTTACAGAGTTTAGTTCATATAACTTCTCATAAAGTATGTGAGAAAGTTTAAATCCTAATTTCACTTCTAACAGGGAGTGGTGGCACACGCCTGTGATCCTAGCACTTGGGAGGCTGAGGCAGGAGGATTGTTGCAAGTTCGAGGCCAGCCTGGGTTACAAAGTGAGCTCAAGCCCAGCCTGAACTGCATAGCAAGACCCTGTTTCCCAAAAAAACGAAAAAGAAAAAACCCAACAAAATAAAAAAAAAACAAAACCTGAAACTCATTTCACTTCTAAAGTGAGGTCTCCCTACCTTCTCTTGACCCTACGGGACTCCTTACCTGTCCCCTGTTCATCACGAGAACTCCTTGTCTTTGGAAAGCTGTTTTGGTGTTGTTTCAGTTCCCTGGCTCCAGTTCCGTTCCTGGGTCTACCCTGGGTGCCTCCAGCAGCACTGCGGGCGACAGCACGCCAGCTACTCAAAGCCTGTCCTGGCCCACTTTGCCCAGGTTAACCCCTTTTGAACTTTTCAGCCTCACAGACATGAGTCTGGTTCCTATTGATCGCTCTGATCTAATGCACTGTAGGTTGTCTTTATTTAAAAATAAGGGCTCTGAGAAAATATGTCCCATTACTGGGTTGCTTAGACTTAGGTCGGTTCCGTGGCTAGTACTCCGAAGGCAGGTTACAGCAGGCTTTCAGCAGTAGTTACTGAGTGTTTTCAGGGGCTCAGGCTCAGGATCCGTCAGGTTTGAGTTCATATTCCAGCTCTTCTGTTTACGAGTTTTGT